AAGGGTTCAGAGGTCAGGTCTAGACAGGAGCACTGGATAAGGTGACAGAATCAAGACAGAGTGTCTCACCAGGTCCTGGTAGAAGGTGACATGTTTCTGTGGTGCCCGAATCGGAAAGACAGTGGTGGGTGTAGAAGACCTGAGGTGCCAGAGGGTGAGGGCTGGGCCCCCTCCACAGACCTAGGCAGAAAGGTAGCAGGCCCCAGTCACTCTGAGCCAATGGACTTCAGCGATCACTCCATCCCACTCTGTCCAGCTTACCATCCAGTCTGAGTCAGTAGCCAAACATCCAATCCAGCGCCCATTGTGGGGCCTCGAGCACTCCTGGGAAGGAGAGAAGAGGTGAGGACACTGGGGGACGGATAAGTAAGGGGACAAGAATATAGGTCTCTCCTTACCTCATGCTTATAGACTTCGATGGTCTGAACCTCTTTGGCTATACGGAGATCTGTGGGGAAATAAAACCACTGGGACTCTTGAGGAGCAACAAAGCCCCGCCCCCACTTTCTCACTTTTTTTTTTTGAGACAGAGTCTCTACATAGCCCTGGCTGTCCTGGAACTCGATCTGTAGACCACTCTGGCCTTGAACTCAGAGATCTACCAGTCTCTGTCTCCTAAGTGCTGGCATTAAAAACATATGCCACCAGACCCAGCTTACTTTCTTGCTAATTGGACTTTTCCTTACCCCAAAGCCGTACAGCTCCATCCTCACCACCAGATAGCACCTCAGGGCTGCGATCCCTCAGTGCCAGGCAATGGATATAGTCTGTGTGGCCCCGGAGGGCCCGCTGCAGGGAAAAAGGAAGGCTCAGAGGGAGATCCTGGAGGCATACTATCTTTGGCCCAGACTTGTCCTGGCTCCAGACCCCCACTCACTGTGAAGGTCCCAGTTTCCAGGTCCATAGTATGCAGCTGACAATCCCCCCCAGCCAGAATGAGTGAATTCTCCTATGGGGGAAGCAGGAGAGAGCTGAAAGTCAGTGCCAATAGGGACAGAGAGCAACGTTTGGCCTAGAATGGTCACAAAGCACTCAGACCTTGGGGACAAGCAGCAAGGCATTGATTTCAGGCACTTCCAGGCTGGTCCTAGGTGGAGGAGGAGGAGAGGCATCAGAATCCCAGAGGTAGTGCCATTGACCTCACCAGCCCTCCACCAACATGGTTCTCGCTCACCTGTATGGAGGCTGACGACGCCACAGTTCCTTACAGCCCTTCACAGAGAAACAGGAGGAAACACTGAGTGATCCCCAAACCTCTCCAGGTGAGAAAGCCCAGCCCATGCCCAGGCTCCAGACTCCTACCTTCTTGAGGATCTCTGCCCAAAGCCAGCCCTTCACTTCCCCATCCCCAGCACTGAGCAGATGCCGATCTGTGGAGACCATGCTGTAGACAGGCCCATCATGGGCTAAAGGGACATAGAGAACGTCAATGAGCCCTCTGTGTCCCCATCTCTACCCTGAGATCTCCTGAACCACACCAACAGCTATACCCACCATGGAAGGTCACCATGGGTTTTTTGCTTTCTTCTTTGGCCTCTGAACTCAAGGCAGCAGACAAACTGGAAGAAAGGTGAGGAGGAGCCAAGAGTCAGAAGCAGGGAGCATTAATCCCAGAAGGCACAAGCGCTAGGGCTTAAGTGTGATGGGACTCAGAGTGGAGGGTACCTGAAGATGGCAATCTGCCCGTAATTGTTGCCAGCTGCCAGAAACTTCCCGCAGGGCGAGACACTCTGGGAAAAGATGGTCATGTGCAGGCGCTGCAGGGCCTGCGCTACCTCAGCCTGTGGGAAGAGGGTGGATGAGGAGATTCTGGGAGGTCTGGGTCCTCCTCCTGCAGACTCCTGTTTGTCTACCCTGCCCAGACTTCAGCCCTGCTCAGCCACAGCCACAGGCATCTCCCCATACAAGAGTGGCTCCAGGAAGAGAGTGAGAAAAGGAGAACAGGGGCACAGTACCTAACACTTAGAACAAGCACCAAGCCTCTCCTGTCAGCTTAGTAGACAGATGGCACTCCCAGGAAACGCTGGTCATAATTAGGTAACTAATGAACAGTAAGAGCTTTGTAGCCAGGTTTAGTAGGTGCACAACTGTAATTCCAGCACTTAACAGTTGGAAGCAGGAAGATCAGAGGAAATTCAAGATTATCCTCAGCTACATAGTGAATTCAAGGGTAGCCTGGGCTACACGAGACAGTCTCAAATACGCACACATACACACATCTGAGGATGTAACTGAACTGATAGTGTTTGATTAGCATGCACCAGTCCCCAGCACTGCACACTGCATTAAACAAGCACACACTTGTGGCCTGTGATTTCAGCACTCAGGAGTTGCAGGCAGGAGGACATTCCCCCACTCCAAGGCAAACTCCAGACCAGCTTGAAATATGTTGACTCTGTCTCAAAAAACTAAGTGAATAAAAATAATAAATCTATTTTTAAAATAGGGGGGTGTGCCTGGAAAGATGGCTCAGCAGGTAAGTGTGCACTACTCTTGCAGAGAATCCTACAGACCCACATGCCAGATCACAACCATCTGTAACTCCAGTTCCAGGAGAGCTGACGTCACTTCCCCCAGTCCCTCCAGACAGGTTCTCACAAGAAGCCCTCTTTGTACCAGAACTCTCTATGTAGATCAGGCTGGCATCATAGAGATCTGCCTACCTCTGCCTTGCAAGTGCTGACGTTAAAGGCACTGAGTCATTAGGTCTTGTTTTGTTTTTTTCAATTTGTGTGTGTGTGTGCTGTGTATACCAGTGCCCATGAAGACTAAAAGAGCTTGTTGGGTCTCCTGAAACTGGATTACAGGCATCTGTAAACCCACTCCTATATGGATGCTGGAAACTGAACTTGGTACCTCCAGAAGAGTAGCAAGCACTTTTAACCACTGGGTCATCTCTCCAGCCCCCTGTGATGCCTCTTCTGGCCTCCGAGGATATGATAAACATACATAGCACACATACAACTGCTAGGAAAACATTTATAGACATAAAACAATGAATAAATCTTACAAGAAAATAAATGAGCCTATCGTGGAGGCACACCTTTAATCCCAACACTTGAGGAAGAGGCAGGCAGATCTCTATGAGGTCCAGGCCAGCCCGCTGTACTTCCTGAAAACTTGTTTAAAAAAAAAAAAAAAAAGGTAACTACTCAATGGGTAGACCATGTTCTTTTGTTTGTTTGTTTTTTGTTTTTGTGGGGGGACAAGGTTTCTCTGTGTAATCCCTGGCTATCCACAAACTATCTCCGTAGACCAAGCTGGCCTCAAACTCATAGAGATCCACCTGCCTCTGCCTTCCGAGTGCTGGGATTAAAGGCATGTTCCACCACCAACAAGCCTATGCTCTCTTTTTTTTTTTTTTTTTTTTTTAAAGATTCTATTTTTAGCCGGCCAGCGGTGTCGCAAGCCTTTGGTCCCAGCACTCGGGAGGCAGAGGCAAGGCAGATCTCTGTGAGTTCAAGACCAGCCTGGTCTATAAGAGCTAGTTCCAGGACAACCTCCAAAGCCACAGAGAAACCCTGTCTGGAAAAAAAAAAATAAAGATTCTATTTTTATTGCTTTTAATTATGTGTATATGTGTGTGAGGGGAGTGTGTGCAAGTGAGTGCAGGTGTCCACACAGGCAAAAGGATGCAGATCCCCTGGAGCTGGAGTTACAGGCAATTACAAGATTTGAAATTTGAGTGCTGGGAACCAAACTTGGGTCCTCTTCCATCTTTCCAACCGCTAAAACCTATTCTAACCCAAAGTTCTGTGTTTGCGCACCAGCACTGTATATATTGGGCATTATGGCACACCCAATAGCCCATAACATTCAGAGGGAGGCAGAAGTTCAAGGTCATTCTCCATTATATAACAAAGTTCAAAGAAAGCTGGAGATATATGACACTGTCTCACAAACAACAAGCAGTTCTTGGGCTGGGGTATAATTAAATGACAGAGCATGTTCTTACTGCGTCTAAGGCCCAGGGTTTTAAAAAAGGCTCATGTACAATGATTAAACTTTTTTTTTTTTAAGTTGGGGTCTCACTATGTATCCCTGGATGACCTGGAATTCACTATGCAGCAGGCTAGTTTCTAACTCACAGAGATATGTCTGCCTCTGCCTTCCCAGTGCTGGCATTACAGGTGTGTGGAACTACGTCCAACGGCTAGTTTTTTTTAAAGTGGCTTTATTATCCTTCACAGTAAAATGTACTGACATTTAGTCCCTATGTCACTATTAGATCCCAAGGACCGGGGATCACTATTCTGGGGGGGTCAGAGTCAGAGTCCGAGTATTTCTTGGCCACCAGGTCATGGCAAGACTACAAACCCCAGAAGGCACTGTGCGCACACTCGACTCACCTGACCCAGAGGCACCGGCGACGGTGCGACGTGATCCATCTTCAGAACTACAAGTCCCAGAGGGCTCTAGGCGCGACACAACCTCTCGACTCCCTACGTGCGTGAGAGTGGTTCTTCTCGTTGCGCCCCAGGACCTGGCACTGTCGGCCGTTCAACAACTAAGGCGGCAGGTCGGTGCTGTCTCGAACCACTGAAACCTAGGGGAACTCTGCGAAGCACCCTTACGCTAAGTAGCGTCCAGGACTGCCCAGCTACACCGAATCCCCTCCCCCACCCCGCCGACCTGTCCCGCCTTCTAACCTCGCGGTGCTCGCCTTCCGCGCCTGCGTCGAACGTCTCCAGTGAGCACGCCGGTAGCCCCGCCCCTCGCGTTGTACCACGCCCTCAAAGGCTCCGCCTCTGCCGCCTGGATCCCACCCCTCTATCTGCAGGACCCCGGACCGTAATGATCCTACAACAGCCCCTGGAGCGAGGCCCTCCAAATCGTGATCCACGGGCCACCACTGGGGTGACTCGCGGCCTGGACGCTAGGTGCGTAAGCGGCCCCTGCGTGGGCCGGACTAACGGAGGGCAAGAGCTTTGGCTGGGGGCCCAGGGCCGGTCAGTAGGGTGATCCTGGGAAGAGAGGCAAGGTGGTACAGGAAACCGTGGTGTTTGAGCTTGTGTTGGAACTGGGAAGCCACGGTCAGGATTTCCGAGGTAGCCTGGTGGATGATGGCCTGAGAGAGTAAAGTGGCTTAGGCCACACAGACAAGACTGATTCTGGAATCCTGGCTTACTCTGCAAGCTCAGGTAAAGAGAGAGGGTGGGCTACACCTGGCTCTATTTCCCAGCTCCCCTCTCCTAGGAGCTGTGCCCATGAGCACGGAAACCCCTGGAGGAGCATTAAGTTTGGGGGCAGATGGGTCTCCTTAGATGTCACCTTTGGTCCTCATCAGTTTGCCTCCACCCTCTGTTCCTCTCTGGTCTTTCCCCCAGGGAACCCTTGCACAAGCAGTTTCTGTCTGAGGAGAACATGGCCACCCACTTCTCCCGACTCAGCCTACATAATGACCACCCCTACTGCAGTCCCCCTGTGACTTTTCCCCAAGCCCTGCCACCACTCAGGTAGGCACCTCCCCTCGCAGGGCCTTCTAGAGAATCACATTCGGTCCTCAGAGCCCCTCCTCATGATCTGCCTCATCATGCTATTTTTAGCTTCTAGCCAACTTCTGTGCTGTTTTCCATCTTTGGCTCCAGGGGATCTGGACCTGGTAGGAGGTGGCTCTGCCAGGCCAGCCTCTGCCCCATACTTTCACTGTCTCTCTTCTTCTTTCAGGAGCCCTTGCCCAGAGCTGCTTCTCTGGCGCTATCCCGGGAGCCTGATCCCTGAGGCCCTCAGACTGCTGAGGCTGGGGGATACTCCCAGTCCCTACTACCCTGCATCCCCAGCTGGGGATATCATGGAGCTCTAAGTGCTGATGGCCAGTGTCCCTCCTCACCTTGTTCCTGACAACAAAGACCAGCAACCCCCAGAAAAGGATGAGGTCCTTCCCCTGTAACAGGACAGATGATAATCAAGCTCAGTGATACCCTGAATGGGAGGGGCAGCAGCTTGGAAAGGGGAAAGTATCACCCCATTAGTGAATAAAGATTTCTGAGCAATTGAAGGTTTCTCAACAGCATTTGGAGAGGGTGGAGTGCTGGATGCTGGGGCTTTCTCCTCAAAATCTTCCCTGGAAAACGGTGAGGGCAAGCCAGGTCCTGGCAAGCTGGGCTCCAGGCATTGAGAATGTGTGAGTCAGAGCCTCACCCCCCGCCCCCGCAGTGGCCGACTGACTCCCTCCCTCCCTCCATAGGGATCAGGCCTTACTCCAAACCATTTCAAGTTAAAGATTCTTTTATTAATAAATTCTCCCACCCCTTCAAACTTTATCCCCCAAATAAATATCCCCCCCCCCTTTAGAGGATGGGTGTGTGTGTATTAGGGCCAGCCCTCCCAGAGGGCCAGCCCCCTTAGTGTTAAGCACAGGTCCCTAAATCTGACCCACTCCCAGGGCTGAAACTTAGTGTAATTGAATTTCAGCCCATCTGAGTGGGTGGGACCTAGTGTGTCTGCCCCTCAAGTCAGCCAGGTCTCCAGGACTTGGGGAGAGCAGGAGACCCCCTTGTGCAAATGCTGCGGTTCCTTAGTGTGTGTTGCTTTGTGACCCAGCTTGAGGCTCCCTGCCCTGGAACCAGAGACAGGGCAATCTAGACACCCTGGAAGGCTCCCCTGAACCCTAAGCCCAGTCCTGGGAGGTGAATCACCACCTCACCCCACCCCCTTGTGGTTGGAAGAGTCTGGCTGGGGTTGTCTGGAAGGCCAGGCTGGCTCCAGAATGAATGAATGGACGATGAGTGGGCACCGGCGCGGGTGCTCCTCACTGGATCAGTGCCACACCTGGGCAGCCCTCTCCACCAGTCTCCTCTATGGGGGCTGGAAAATAAGAAGTGGGGTTGTCATGATTAGGGGACATTTAGGGAAGTGTTGGGGAAGGTGGGAAGAGTGAGGGAGGAGAGGCTACTTACTAGTAAACTTTTCTCTCCGTCGGCACCGTCTCCAGACCAGGAAACCAGAAAGCAGCGCCAAAACCAAGGCCAGACTAAGAGCACCTCCCAGAATGGGCCAGAGCAGTCTGAAGGGGGCAGGAGGTGCTGCTGCGCCTAGTGGCCAGGGCTCAAATCAGATTTCGCCCTTGGGAAGCCAGTCCTCCCTCAAGGGGGTCTCAAGCTTTGCCCCACTGCGTTCCCCAATCTGATAGAAGCCCTTTCCCCAGTCAGTTTTTTCCCTGATTTCCGAGATCTTAAATTCAAGTCCCGCCTCTCCGCCCCAGCAAACCTCTACCCACTTCTAGGATCCACTGACCACCGGCCCCGCCCCCACTCACATCCCAAGCAGAAGTCGCTGTGCGGTCGCGCTGGACAAGAAGCGCAGTCCATGCACTTGTCGAGATCCCCGCTAGAGCATGGGGCGGTGCCTGGGGAGGGGGCTGCAAGTTAGAAGCTGACGGCAGGGCGCGGCTATTCTGGGGGCTGAGGTCAGGGTCAGTCGGCTCAAATAACGTGAGTCACCATCGCCCCCCCACCCCCGCATTCCTCACAGGTGACCGCACCGCCTGACCGAGACACGGCAGTGCGGGGAGGGGGGGTCGGGTAGCGCGAGACTTGGGGGGTTGGTGCCCCCCCCCACGCCGTCAGCGTGTGACTCACTCCTGGGCACTGGGCCCGACCCCAGTCCCTCCTCCCGCATAACTGGGCATTGAAGTCACCGGATGGAAGGGGCACCCCCACATGGTATAGAGGGCAAAGACCCCAGTGCCCCTTCGCGATTCTTAGATATCGGGACTGCTCAGACCCCATTACAGATCAGGGTGAGGGCATGCCCCCCTCCCAAAACAAAACTTCTTCCCTCAAAGTTTACTTTCCCTCTCTACTCTGGCTCGAACTTTTGAGACAGAAGACCCCACACCTGACTGGACAGGTAGCGAAACCGAGGCTCGGATTGTGGATAAAGCTTGGAGTGGATTGAGACCTTACCCACTTGGAACACGCTTCCTAAAGACCACGGATCGTAGATCCGCACGTCTACCCGGTTCCACTCAGATCTCCAGGCACCCAAATTCCGCTCCTGGCCACCCAAAAGTCCGAGCTTCACCGTCCTCTGAGTCAAGCATACCTGGTGCTTGTTCCCCGGCCGCGGCGCGCATCAGCACCAACCCGAGTCCCAACACGAGGATCTGCGGCAGAGGCTGCGGCCAAGCCGGAGCCATGATTGCCGGTCCCGCGGCCACAGCAGTCTGTTCCCACCACCCGCGGGCCAAGTCTCAGGGCCGGGGCCCCGCCCCCGCCCCCGCCTTCCGGGGCGGAGCCCTTGCCTCTGCCCGCCCTTTGCTTTGCGGTGCCCAAAGCAGGCCTCTGACGAGCCATTCATTCAGCACAGTCTCTCCAAATGTCTAGAACGCCCGGAGGACGTCTACCCTGCCCCACCCTCTGCGAGCGGTAGTCCCAAGGGCGTGGAGCGGAGAAAATCAGCTACAAGCCATAATTGCAAAAAAAAAAAAAAAGTCCAAATAAATAATCTATTTACTATTTTACATTTCTGGGGTGGAAACCAGAGGATGGAATACACCAGGCAAGCACTGAGTTATTATATACCCACACAGCCTTTATGTTCGCTTGCTTTGTTTGGTTTTGACTTTTTGAGACAGGATCTCATACTGTATCCCAAGCTGGCCTCAAACTCGAAACAATTCTCCTGTCTTAGCCTCCTAAGTGCTAGGATTTCAGGCAAGCGCCACCATACCCAGATTTTCTTTCGTTTGCTTGTTTTGTTAGAAAGAATCTTGCTTTTTGTTTTGTTTTTGTTTTTGTTTTTCGAGACAGGGTTTCCCTGTGGCTTTGGAGGCTGTCCTGGAACTAGCTCTTGTAGACCAGGCTGGCCTCGAACTCACAGAGATCCGCCTGCCTCTGCCTCCCGAGTACTGGGATTAAAGGCGTGCGCCACCAACTCCTGGTAAGGTAAGTTTTTTTTTTTTTTTTTTTTTTTTTTTTTTTAGTTTTTCGAGACAGGGTTTCTCTGTGGCTTTGGAGGCTGTCCTGGAACTAGCTCTTGTAGACCAGGCTGGCCTCGAACTCACAGAGATCCGCCTGCCTCTGCCTCCCGAGTGCTGGGATTAAAGGCGTGCGCCACCAACGCCCGGCTAAGGTACATTATTTTTTAAAAGATTTAATTTTTGTGTACGTGTGTGTGTCACGTGTGCATGAGTGTCCCTGGAGTCCAGAAGGGGGCAACGGATCTCCTAGAGATAGAATTACAGGTGGTTATAAACTGGCGCAAATAAACTTGGTCACCTGGAAGAGCAGAAAGGCTCATAACCGGTGAGCCGTCTTTCCGGACACACTCGCTGCTTTCTTGTGGGTATCGGGGGATAACAAAAACAACGAGCAGGCAGCGGGGTAAGGATGCCTACTGCCAAGCCTGGCAATCTGAGTTCGTTCGATTCCCCGGGGCTACAGAGTGTTAGACGAGAGAGCCTACTTTTGCTAGCAGTTTTCTGACCACAGGTGTGCAGTTTGACAGCTCCCCCCCAAAAAAGTAATGTGCCCTTTAATTTGTACCTGAGGGCTTACATAGGTCCTACATAGGACTTACATGCAGAGTTGTCTCCATTCGCAAAGTAAGAAACTGGGGCTATGGAAAGTTGAATGAATTCTCAAGTCTCAGCTCAGGTCTCTGAACTCAGCAGGCAGCAGGTGTTGCCGCTGGAGTCGCCAGCAACTAAGGGGCTGAGAAACGCACTCTGGCTGCTGTCCGGGCGGGGGTCTCTGCCCCTCCCAGAGGGAGGTGGTCCAGTGACGTCACTGCGACTTTAAGACCCTTTGCCTCCGCCCTCGTCCCTACTTTCGACTTGGGAATCTTTGCAGTCACTTTTGCAGGTAAGCCTGGGGCAAGTGTGAATTGCGGGCGTGGGGATGTGGCAGGGTGCATGCGGGCCTGTGCAGAGACTGGTGCTTCGATCCTAGTGGCAGCCACCTGGGTCCGCAGGTCCCCAGGCAAGAAGTAGTTGCAGAGAAACCCGCGAGGCTATTGAGGCCCCGCAGCCCCAGAGAAGTTAAACGTCCCTGCCCCTCCCCCTCCCCCGGGACAAAGGCATCGAAACCCGGGACGCCCCTCCTCCACCTGCTTGGCTTCTTTGGGGCGGGACTCCCCTCCCCCTCACCTGCAGGCGCGGACCCTCCTGGTATCCAGGGTGGTGTTGTACGGAACCAATAGAAGGCAGGGAAGTACTTCCTATTTGCAAGAACCAGTGGCTCAGAAGACGTGGTCCCCCCCCCCCCCCCCCCCCCCCCCCCCCCCTCGGGGCCCGCCCCCCGCCCGCGGGCGCCGCCGCCATTAAGCCCCTCCTGGTCGCTCACTCCTAGGCCTAATAATCAACCAGCCCCGGGTGGCCGAGCCAGACAGCACGCCCTCGGACAAAGCTGAGTGAGCACTCGGTAAGTGGAGAGGGACAGAGATGAGAAGGAGCGAATGTCTCTCCAGATCTTGTCTCCTGTGTGAGACTGCAACTGGGAGGAGTCGGAAGGGTCTGTGGCATTCTTTAGGTGCAAGGTGCACCCTTAGAATCGAGGGTAATGGGGAGCCACAGCATGGCGCTGAGCAGAACTGACTCGCTTAGTGCCAGCTATATGAACCGCGACGTGACCGACACAGGTGCAGTCTGTCACAGAAGGCACTGGGGTCTTTAGCTCCTTAGGAAGCTGTGTCAAGAGAGGAAAGGTAGCTCGGCCTTTGGTCTAAAATTCGAAAGAATGCTGGCATCCTTGAGGGCATGCACCTTGACCTTTAGAGGCAGAGGCTGGACGAGAATCGGCTAGTAACCTAGAAAATCTGCTTTGGGGCGATTTTCCTCATCTCTCTTGCCCTCCAGGGTGGGCTGGGCCTGGTAGGGCCTCCAGCTACTTCCAAGGATTGGAAAGAGATACTTGGAGTGTGGGGGAGGGCTAGGCCTGGGATTTCAAGGAATTATATCCACCTGAAATGGAACCTGGAACGGAGCTGGGGGGTTCCATTTGAGCTTTGGGTGGTGGGAGGAGGCTTGAGATCTCACCTGAGTGCTGAACTGATACTGTTGGACCTGAAACTTGTGGCTAGAGCCCAACCATTCCAAAATCACACCCCTGACATTTTCCCTCTTTGTGCCACTTTGCTCACCTGAGAAAATGTACCTGAGGATGTAGCTCAGTTTGTAGAGTGCTTGCCTGGCATGCACGAAGCCCCGAGTTTGCAATCACCAGTGCTGCATTATCTGGGTAAGGTGTTGCAGATGCTGCCTGTTAGCCCAGCACTCAGGGAGGTGGAAGCAGGAAGGTCAGAAGTTCAAGGTCAGCCCCAGCTACATCGGGAGTTAAAAGTAGTTCAAGCCTGGGCTACATAAGACCCTGTCTCAAATAAAATAAATGTAAAAGAAAGCATCTGTCGGGGGCTGGAGAGATGGCTCAGAGGTTAAGAAGCACTGACTGTTCTTCCAGAGGTCCTGAGTTCAATTCCCAGCAACCACATGGTGGCTCACAACCATCCATTATGAGATCTGGTGCCCTCTTCTGGTGTGCAGATATACATGGAAACAGAATGTTATATATATAATAAATAAATAAAATCTTAAAAAAAAAAGAAAGAAAGAAAGCATCTGTCACTGGACTAGTCTATGCTTCAGCTTTGTCCTATTTCCTGTTACCTGAACGAAAAAAAAAACAGGATTTTGTGCTTTACCTCTCACAGACTAGAGAAGAATTAAATGCTTATTTTGCTTTTGATTGGCCTACAGAGTGTATCTAACCCATACTGCAGAACACAGTAGCCAGCTGTCTCAAGGTGCTTTGTGTTCCTATCACGGCTGGCAAGTTACATCGGGGCCTGCCACATTTTAACACTCTACTATTTCATTCTTCCCACACTACACAGCCCCCTTGACTTCATCATGGCTTCTGCCGGTCTGCAAATCTTGGGGATCGTCCTGACCCTGCTTGGCTGGGTCAATGCCCTGGTGTCCTGCGCTCTGCCCATGTGGAAGGTGACAGCTTTCATCGGCAACAGCATTGTTGTGGCCCAGATGGTATGGGAGGGGCTGTGGATGTCCTGTGTGGTCCAGAGCACTGGCCAGATGCAGTGCAAGGTGTATGACTCGCTACTAGCACTGCCCCAGGACCTACAAGCCGCAAGAGCCCTCTGTGTCATCACTCTCCTTATTGTCCTGCTTGGCTTGCTGGTCTACCTCGCAGGAGCCAAATGCACTACCTGTGTGGAAGACAAGAATTCCAAGTCTCGACTGGTGCTCATCTCTGGGATCATCTTTGTCGTCTCTGGCATCCTGACCCTCATTCCTGTCTGCTGGACAGCCCACTCCATCATCCAGGACTTCTATAACCCCTTGGTAGCTGATGCTCAAAAGCGGGAGCTGGGAGCCTCCCTCTATCTAGGCTGGGCAGCCTCAGGCCTTTTGCTGCTGGGTGGAGGGCTGCTGTGCTGTGCTTGCTCCTCTGGAGGGCCCCGGGGACCTGCCCATTACATGGCCCGCTATTCTACATCTGCCCCACATTCAGCCTCTCGTGGACCCTCTGAATACCCCACCAAGAATTATGTGTGATGCTCACTAGCGAATGAGGCTCTACTGGCCAGGGAACCTTAGGACCCTGAGCTGAGCCATCAAGAAATGATGCCTAGTAGTTTGGGGTTGTTTAGTTCCTTGGTTTTGTTTTGCAGTACTGGGTATTGAACCTGGGGACCTACACGTTTGGTAGGCAAGCACTCTCTACCCATGAGCTATATGATACCCTGCCCCTAGGGTTGGTTGCATCTCATTATGGAGCCCTGACTGATTTCCAGCTCTAGTTTTCCCTGTCTCAACCTAAGTCCAGATTCCACGTAACTCTGCTGTTGCCAATTCTCACTCTTAGATTATGCATCAGGATGGGTGACACTTTTGGTTTGTTTCTATTCACTCTGGGCATCTTCTGTGGAAACTGTTTTGAGACTGCTTGTGAATCTGACCTTTGTGATCCCCAAGATGGCCTGTCCCAAGAGTTCCTAGTCCTGGAAGGACAAGTGATAAGTTACCAAAGAATTTTCTACTCCAGATCTTCCAACACCTTTGGCCCCTGCATCCTAATACCAAAGTTACCATGTACTTCCCCCAAATCAGGTCCCAGCTGTGCTGTAGACCCTCCACCCCCATTTCTCTATAACCTTGCACATTTCCCTGCCCGCACAATGTTTTACTAAATAAAACATTTTTATAATGTGCCTTTGATGTCTCTCTTGGTGTTTGGTACAAGCCTAACTAGAGGCAGTTGGCAGTTCCATAATCAATTCTAAACCTTTCTGGCTCAGACCCTGTGGTCTAAGCAAGCATGCTTGCTGACTGGAACCTGGGGCACTCCCACCCCCATTCCTTTTCACAAATCAGAGGAAGCTCAGTTACCATGTGCTTTTATTCCCAGCTCAGTCAGGTTGGGGAGTGGGTAGGGCACTGAGCAGCTTGGATTCAGGTTGTGGTTGGATTGAATTTGACCATCTGTAGGCTGTTAGGTCACAGTGCACACCTTGTTTTGAAGGTAAGGAGGCTGAAGCCCAGGTTCCTGGGGTAAAGTAGAGCTCCACAGAGAGGAGAGTAAGTCAGTTCAGGAATACCAGCAACACCCTGGGAGGCAGGGATGAGCCAGGGTACTCAATAGCTTTGGCGCTTTCTCAAGTTTGCAACCACTGCAAAGAGCTGGCTCAGGACAAACCAGCTGAGATTCCCCTACAGCCAGGTCCCGACCAAACAAAGTGAGCTTCCCTGGCACATGAGGGCGATGAAGAGATGCAAGGTGCAGCCCAATGCCTGGGCATAAAGCTGCAGGTTCGAGCTTCTGGAGGAAGCCTCGGCCTCACACGTAGTCCCTCTTATCCAGTCCTGAAGCACCTGAACGGGAAGGGATGGAGTAGCCCAGCCTGGGTCCACGGGGCCGCTCGAAATGGGATGGGGGACACGTACAGCATAGCAGCCCTCCACCCAGCATGAGTAGTGCAGCCGCTGCCCAGCCCAGGTAGAGGGAGGCTCCCAGCTCTCTCTTGAGGGCTTCAGCCACCAGAGGGTTATAGAAATCCTGGATGATGGCATGGGCTGTCCAGCAGACAGGAATGAGCACTAGGATGCCTGAGAGGAGGAGGAGGACCCCTGCAGTGAGCACAATTCGGGCCTTGGCACCTTCATCCTCCACACATGTGGTGCACTGGGCACCCGTGATAGCCACCAGCAGCCCCAGCAAAGCCAGCAGAAGGGCAACAACACAGAGGGCTCTGGCAGCCTGCAGATCCTGGGGCAGTGCCAGCAGTGAGTCGTACACCTTGCACTGCATCTGGCCAGTGCTCTGGACCACACAGGACATCCACAGCCCCTCCCATACCACCTGGGCCACAACGATGCTGTTGCCGATGAAGGCAGTCACCTTCCACAGTGGCAGGGCACAGGATACCAGGGTCCCTAGCCAGCCTAGCACTGCCAGGGTCATGCCAAGGAGTTCAAGGCCAGTTGAAGCCATCTGCTCCTCAGGTCTTCTCAGCTTTTAGCCTGAATCACGCACTCAAGGGGTTGGGAGCACGGAGTTCGGGGTGGGTCTCGCCTCTGCCTCCCGAGTGCTGGGATTAAAGGCGTGCCCCACCAACGCCCGGCGGGTGGGTCTCGATGCTTTGGAGATGGATCTGTTGCTCTCAGGCCAGGACAGACCGCAAATCTATAGGCCTCACACAGCTGATACTCACTGAATACAAAGAAGTCCTTAGATCCTGCTCAACGGGATTGCTTGTATCCTCTGGGAAGCCTATGGCCCATCACAGACCCTCCAAACCTGCCATGGACTTGGAACAGCCGTGTTCTTCTCTGACTGCTCACGTCCTTTCTTGGTTGAAGTCCTCCCAGCTGGTATGCAGCTTGTCTCAAAACAGAACTGTGAGGTGCCACCTGGGGCGTCTGAGGGCGCTGGCTGCAGGCGGGGTTTTAAGGCCTAGGACAGGGGAGGAGCCCAGCAAGGGACCTGGAGGCTGCCATTGGGTAGCAGAACCAGAGCAATGGTGAAAAGGGGGTAGGATGGGGGCCCTCAGGGTTAGGGTAGGGTGCCAAGACTAAGTGGAAACCCAGGGACAAAGGAATTCTGGGAAGACAGGACAAACAGAAAAGGGACGAGAGGAGTCAGTTTATTGGCTTGAAACAGAGAAATGGGCTATTGCGCTCTCAGCCTGAGCCTGCTCCCTCTCTGCCACCTGTCTAATTCACTCTTGTGATGGTGGGGAAAGTATGCCCCCATTATCCATCATCATACATAACCCCATCCCCATCCCCCACCCTCTCAGGACTCTTCGGAATCTGATCTGTCTCCAGTCTCAGCTCAATAGCCCTGGCAGTTCCTAGGGGAGAGGCTCCGCCTACAGTTTCCCAGACAACAGGTGCCTGGCGCCCAGCTCAGGTGGCATTACCAAGGCAACGGCCTAGAAAACAGCTCCCCCCCACCAACACACACATAGGCACACACTTCCACCTCAGCTCAGGTGTTCCCACCCCACCCCCACAGCCGAAACTACGGGCCTGAGCTGAGCTGTTGAAGGTCCCTAGCGGTCTGGTGATAAAGAGCCTGTTGTTGAGATGGACAGAAAGAGGACTGGGGTAAGAAGAGACAAGGGGGACCCTGAGATAGGGTGCTCTTTTTGATAGTCACATGCATTGCCAGACAGGCCCAGACACCACAGAGGTGGGCAAAGGCGGTAAGGGCCAGAGGATTAAAATGACTCTGAGCCCCGACTTCCATTCCCTTAGAGACTCCATTCACTAGGTGCTGCCTGATTTCAGCTCAAAATCTGATCCTACCAGGGTGATCAGGGAGGTGTCCTAACCTCTTCCAACCAGAGAGACTCAGTTGAGAAAACTTAAAGAGCCTGCATTCCACAAGGGATACAGTCCTGACAATATGTGCATATTTCAGGGCAGTCATGGAAGTTATGAACAATCCCCTCCTGGAGGCTAAGAACTCCAGAGGCATTTATTTATTTATTTATTTATTTAACGTATTTATTTTTCGACAGGGTTCCTTTATATAGCCCTGGCTGGCATGGAACTCACAGAGATCTGCCTACCTGTGCCTCCTGAGTCCTAAGATTAAACGTGTGTGCCACCATGCTCAGCTTCTGAAGACTATTAAAAAAAAAAAAAAAAAAAAAAAACCCCCCGCCAGGCCAGCATCCCGAACCCTAGGTGTTTTGCCTGTACAACACATGTTCCTAATGCCTGCAGGGACCAGAAGAGAGCATTAGATTCCCTGCAACTAGCATTACAGGTGGTTGAGAGCTACCATGTGGTTACTGAGAATCAAACTTGGGACTTCTAGAAGAACAGATAGTGCTCTTGACCACCAAACAATCTCTCCAGCCCCAGTGGTGGTACACGCCCTTAATCACAGCACCCCAGAGGCATAGGCAGGTGGATCTCTGTGAGTTCAAGACCAGCCTGGTCTACAGAGTGAGTTCCAGGACAGCCAGGGCTACAGAGAGAAACCCTGTCTCGAAAAAACAAAAACAAACAAACAAACCAAAGAGTAACATGCAGGAATCAAGTCAGTTCTCTTTCTGGGGGCATAAAAATGGAACTCTGGTACTGATGTTTGGTAGCAAGAACCTTTTACCAGCTGAGCCATCTCAATGCTCCGTATCTATGAAGGTGGTATTAGAACCCAGGGGTGTGGTGTATTCATAATTTCTAGGTGTAGATTTTAGCACTGTTGTAATTTTTAAAACACCGTGAAGAGAAGTCATGCCATACAACAGGATCACATAATTGGTTTATTGGAAGAGAGAGAAGGGGAGACAGAGAAGGGATAAAAAGGGGAGGCAGAGACCGATCTTTGGGGACAAGAGTGGTGGAAGAGAAAGAGAGAGGGAAGGAGAAAGAGAAAAAGATAGGAGGTGGGCAGGGCCCCTTTAAAAGGGAAGATAGTGAATGTGCACAGGCTCTTAGTGGCTGCAACTGAGTGTATCCTGTCAAAACCCCAAGGGCAGGCCAGTACAGATGCCTGAATACTTCTTTTGGAAGAGAAGTTTGCTCTCCCACCAAATAACTAGATGGAAGCCAGTGCTAGTCACCTGGTATGAAAGTGGAACACTACCACTCCCTGATGAGAAGGCTTCTCAGACCCCAGAGTATTAGATGTCTCTTTTCTGCCCTGTGTGGTGGTGCCTGCCTTTAATCCCAGCACTCCTGAGGCAGAGGCAGGTGAATCTCTGAGTTCAAGGCCAGCCTAGTCTACAGAGCAAGTTCCAGGACAGCCAGGGCTAAACAGAGAAATCCTGTCTCAAAAAACCAAAAAAAAAAATTTTTTTCCTTAACTTTGGGGAAGGAGTATTGTGGTTCGTACATGAGTGCAGGTACCTGCAGAAGCCAGAGGCATCAGATCCCTGGGACTGGAATTACAGATGGTTGTGAGCCAATCAACATTCATGCTGGGAACAAAACTCTGGTTCTCTGGAAGAGCAGTATGCACTCAGAACTCTTTCCAGCCTTCAAGCTGATAGTCTTACTAAATTTTACTTATTTGTGTGTACTGTGTGTCACTGCACAGTAAGGAGGTCAGATAACAACTTTGCAGCAATTGGTGCTACTCTCCTTCCTCTACACAGGGCCCAGAAATTAAACTCAGATTATCAAGCTTGTTGGGAAGTACATTTTTACACACTGACTCATTCTGATGGCCAATGGAGATGGCTTTTCTGCAGTTTCCAAGTTAGAACTAGGAACTTCTTCAGATCAGTGGTCAGTTTCCAGTACTTTGCTGATGGGGTGAGATCTGTCCAGCTCATCTGCCTCCTGGGGCATGGATTTCACAGCATGTTAGGAGGGAGTGGCTGCAAAGGAGGGCCAATAGAGCTCAGCCTGCCTAGAGGCCCCTTCTGAAGCCTTCCGGGGGCCTCTAGGAATCTGGTCACGCAGGTTAGGTTAGGTGTCTAAGACTGGGGCAAGCCTGGGTCTAGGGGCCATCAACTCCATCCTCTGCAGCCTCAAGCCTGGATTGCCTTCCCCAGGAGCAGATAAAGTCCTCTGCCTTAGGGTGTTGAAGGCCAACTCACCCTGGTTGGCCCTGAATATTTTGAGTTTGGAGGACTGAGTTCTGCATCCAAGATTGGGAGAGTTGGTTAACCTATGGAAAGCTTTTCCAGGTAGCCCACCATTGCTGCAGATAGACCTATACCATCCCCACCCCCACCCCTGGCACAGGTGTGTGTGATAGCACACAACCCAGTAGATTTAGCATTGTCACCTGGGCGGTGGCAGCGCAAGCCTGAGGCAGACAGATATCTGTGAGTTCAAGGACAGCCTGGTCAACAAACTGAATTCCTGGACAGCCAGTGTTATTACAGAGAAACTCTTGTCTGGAAAACAAACAAAAACAAAACAACAAAAAAGAAAAGAAACAAAAAACAGTAAGTATTCTCAGGGGGCAGAGGCCAAAAGATCCCCAATTCTTCTGTGGCCCCAAAGTGTGGGAGCTCCCTATCCTCTACCTGGGATCATAGCAGGAAGCACCCACACTGCCACGGACTCAACAACCACAGGGAGTGATTTGCAACATGGACTATCACCAGTGACCAATTGTGGTTTAACTGGTCCTCAAGTGGCTCAGGTAGCAAGTCTCCTGCTGTTCCTTTTTAATATAAGCTCCACTCAGATCTGGGGGAGACTAAATGTGAGGAGGAACCCCCACATCATTCCAGAAGCCTGAAGGACTGGGCACTGCTCCTTGGGGTACTCTAGGCCAGGCTGCAAAGATCTGCTTACAAGGAAGCCCTTGACTTTCCTGGAGGCTACCTGGGTGGCCCTGGATTTCCATTAGGTTATCTTCTTGGGAAAAAAAGGGTTAAAGTCTGGACCTATGGACTGGAATGTAGTGTCATTGATATGGAGAGGTAGGGCCCCCCTTGAGCAGTTACCATCTCAGCGAGATTTTAACAAGTTCTCCAGAATCCCTACCCCCCACCTCCGCAGACTAGGAAGGATATGAGGAATTTTCCCCAATGCTCTAACTGCTAGAGGAAACAGAGGTGTGCCCCAGCGCTCCACCAACTAAAGTAACTAAACAACATTCTTTGTCCAGGCTGAGTGCATCAGGAGCCAGTAGGCTCTGGAGGGCAGTACAAACCAGGATTGAATTTACATGAATGTGGCCTAAATGGGTCAATTTGCTCTCTTCAAAGGGGACCTTAGGCTACTATCTTATTAAGTCTAAAGGAGCCTATAAACCTGGCTTTATAGGCAGAGGAGCCAGCCCCTTAGCTCTGAGCCTTCAATGACTGCTGGTAAAGACTGAAGACCCTTCCACCCCCATCTCAGCAGCTCACTAATCAATTACTACAGATAAGAAACACAACCAGAGCACTAAAAATCTAGTCTGTGCATACACACAGGCCACAGAAGAGGCCTGAAGCAAAGACCTGCTGAGAGAGTCTGCCGCTCTCTCAGCAGGTCAGGCCAGCAGGCCTCTGAGAACCCATCTATCAGCAG